GAGAGGCCTGATGGTGTGAGGTCGGCTTCTGGATCCCACCACACTGAAGCACCCCAGAGACTCCCTTGTTCTCTCTAAACCCACCATTTCTGCGCCCTGGACCTCGACCCAGCCCTGCTGTTTTCAAAGACGTGTTTTCCACTGACTCCCGAAGCCAGATTCCAGGAGAAGCTGGTGGTCCCGCACCTGCCTGCATTCTGGCAGCCCACGAGGGTCTGTGCTGACAGCAGGTCTGCCCGCCCCCTCATCTCAAAGTGAGTCACCTTTTGCCCCCAGACCCTCTTCCTAGCCTGCCAGATCACCCCTTCCAGCCACACAGTCAAGCCCAAATTAGGAATGAGCCCCATCCAGCCCCTCTCCCACACACAATCTCCAAAGTAATCCCTGGAACCCATGATTAGATCTTATATGGCAAAAGTGATTTTGAAGATGTGATTCAGTTAAGGGTTTGGAGATGGGGAGATTATCGTGGACTGTCCAGGTGGACCCACTACACCCCAAAATTCTCAAGTTGAAACCTAATCACCAATGTGAAAGTATTGGCAGGTGGAGACTTTGGGATGTGGTTAGGTCATCAGGGTAGAGCTCTCATGAATAGGATTAGCGCCTTATAAAAGAGATCCCAGAGGCTGGGCACAGTGGGATGCACCTATAGTCCCAGCTACTGAGGTGGCTGAGGCAGGAAGATCTCGGGTATAGGAATGAGCTACGATTGCACCATCGCACTCCAGCCGTGGTGACAGAGCAAGACCCTGTCTCTAAAGTAAAGAAATAAGAGAGACATCAGAGAGCTGGCTAGCTCCTTCCACTATGTTAGTTAGAAGATGCCATACATGAGGACATGTGCCCTCACAAGACATCAAATCTGCCAGCACCTTGATCTTGGACTTCCCGGCCCCCAGAACCGTGAGCAGTAAGTTTCTGTAAAATGCTATAAGCCACCGACTTTCCAGTATTTCTGTTATCGCAGCCCAGGCAGACTAAAACAACATCTGTGGCACATTTGGGGTGATGTAGGAACACCCAATGTTCCCAGGAACCAGTGAGGGGCAGGAGTCCCAGATCCGTCTAGTGAGATCCCCAGAGAGCGCCATGTACCCACCCTGCAGCTGGCAAAGCTGTTTATGGAAGTTAGGGGCCTACTGGTTTAGAGCAGCTGTTCTCAGCCGGGGGGGATTTGGCACTGTCTTGAGACAGTTTTGGTTGTCATGACAGGGCGTGTGTGGTAGGGGGCGCTACTGCATCACACAGGCACAACATGCTACAGTGTGGGGACAGCCCCCCAACAACAAAGAATCATTTCATCCAAAACATAGATGGGAGCCAGGCGCAGTGACTCACGCCTGTAATCCCAGCACTTTGGGAGCCCAAGGCAGGAGGACTGCTTGAAGCCAGGGGTTTGAGAACAGCCTGGGTAACATGGTGAAACCCCATCTCTACCAAAAAAAAAAAGCAAAAAATTAGTCAGGCGTGGTGACAACAACTGTCCTCCCAGCTACTTGGGGGTCTGAGGCGGGAGGATTGCTTGAGCCCAAGAGGTCGAGGCTGCAGTGGGCTGAGACTGCACTTCACTCCAGCCTGGGTGATAAAGTGAGCTGTCTCAAAAAAAAAAAAAATTAGTTGAGCATGGTGGCGTGCACAGTGGTTTGTGCCTGTAGTCCCAGCTACCTGAAAGGCTGAGGTGGGTAGATGGCTTGACCCCGGGAGACGAAACCTGCAGTGAGCCAAGATCGTGCCACTGCACTCTAGCCTGGGTGACAGAGCCAGACCCTGCCTCAATTAAAAAAAAAAAAAAAATGACAGAACAGGCCTGGTGTGGTGGCTCGCACCTGTAATGCCATCACTTTAGGAGGCTGAAGTGAGCAGATCACGAGGTCAGGAGTTCGAGACCAGCCTGGCCAACATGGTGAAACCCTGTCTGTACTAAAAATATAAAAATTAGCTGGGTGTGGTGGCGGGCACCTGTAATCCCAGCTACTCGGGAGGCGAACCAGGGAGGCAGAGGTTGTCGTGAGCTGGGATCATGCCACTGCACTCCAGCCTGGACGACAGAGCGAGAGACTCCATCTCAAAAAAACAAAGAAAGAAAGAAAAAAACACACTCTGTGGCAATAAGATACCAAATTGTAAAGAGGACCCAAGGCCAAGCCAGGCAAGGGTTTATTCATGCACCCGTGCACTTAAAGAATAAACTATGTCTTAACTACAAACGAGTTTTCCTTTTTCTCCAGCAGGTAAACAAGCACTGGCCTGAAGCAACGTTAATCCACTTTCCAGCTCATCCAGGTCGCAGAGGCTAACTCACTGATCCCCTGTTCCTCCGCCCTAAGTGCCTCTCTGACCTCAGACCAGTTTCAGTAACTTTCTCATGATAAGAGATCATTGATGAACTGGCTTTGGCTGGTTTTCAGAGGCTGCTCACTTGCGTGCCTTCAGGCCCTGAAAAGATATTCTGATGGATGGGGCCTAATTGTAATGCATTTTATTTTATTTTTAATTAATTATTTTTAGATAGAGACGGGGTTTCTCCATGTTGGTCAGGCTGGTCTCAAACTCCCAGCCTCAGGTGATCCTCCTACCTCAGCCTCCCAAAGTGCTGGGATTACAGGCATGAACCACCTCGCCCGCCCCTTATTTTCTTTTTCTGAGATGGAGTCTCGCTCTGTCACCCAGGCTGGAGTGCAGTCACATCATCTTGGCTCACCGCAACCTCCGCCTCCTGAGTTCAAGCAATTCTCCTGCCTAGGCCTTCCGAGTAGCTGGGATTACAGGCACCTGACACCGTGCCCAGCTAATTTTTATATTCTTAGTAGAGTCAGGGTTTCACCATGTTAGCCAGGCTGGTCTCGAACTCCTGACCTCAAGTGATTCACCTGCCTCAGTCCCACAAAGTGCTGGGATAATAGGTGTGAGCCACTGCACCTGGCCTTGTAATACATTTTAATGTTAAGTCTCCACTGTCTCCATCCTACAGCGAACATGGGTCCTATATTACATGCATGTTCGTTCAATATACATGTGTCAGGACCACCTTCATGAATATTCATAGCTCTCCCTGCAACCTGTTGAATATGTATGTTTAGCCAACCCCTTCAGCATACAGCTCCTGCCCCAACCGCTCCTCCTTAGAAGTGCCTGTCTGTGGTCTCTGCCAGAGGCTATGCTTTTTTTATTATTATTATTCTTTATTTTTTTATTTTTTTTTAAAGACCAGGTTTCACCATGTTGGTCAGGCTGGTCTTGAACTCCCGACCTTAGGTGATCCACCAGCCTTGGCCTCCACAGTGCTTGGATTACAGACATAAGCCACCACGCCCGGCCTGAGGCTATGGTTTTGAAAGTGGCAGATGGCTACCCTAAAGGCTGTAACCCTTTATAACAAATGAAGTTGCCACAGTGGCTCACGCCTGTAATCCCAGCACTTTGGGAGGCCGAGGTGGGTGGATCACTTGAGGTCAGAAGTTCAAGACCAGCCTGACCACATGGTGAAACTCATCTCTACTAAAAATACAAAATAGGGCCGGGCGCGGT